TGAGAGAGATTCCAGGCCTGAGATGTGACTTGCCCATGAGCTACGTCCATGTTTGGGGCTGTGTGCCAAGGGGCTATGGGCAGGCCTATATAAGGCTTATTTCCTCAGCCCACCCTGTCACCTGCCCAGTCTTAGGAGGTTGGGTAGTTTTGGGGCAACTCCAACACTTGCCATTGGGGAGGGAAATCAGATAAAGGTTTTAACTCCCAGAAGCGTAGGCATCACTAGGAATAGGGGTCCTCCCAGGTCCCATGGTCTAACAGACACCCTCCCATAGAACCTGCTCCTCACCCCCAGCACTGACATTACATACCCATCCCTACAGGGATCATATAATCAATCGCCCTACTCCAGCCTCCCACCCGAATCTCACCAGATGCCTGCCAAGTCACGTCCATAAAGACCCCGGACAATAAATAGGCTGTCACCAAAGTCACCACCACCTCCCCCATCACACGCCAGCCAGCACCCATGGCTGCCAGCAGATTCTAAAGACACCCAGAGACTCTCCCAAACTCCTGCAGATCTCCTTTAGCCCCTGAAGTATTAATTTTGTCCTCACCAAGACCATCCTGGCTCAACATGCCCCCTCTCACAGCCCCTCAGAGACCCGAGATAGCAGAGACACTGGCCATTGGGGAGCTCTGTTCCTACAGACCACAGCCCTGTCCCCTGAGCTCTGGACCTCACCTCCTGCTCTTAAGCCACTCTCATTCTTCCAAGTCTCTGTTTTCTCCTCTTTAAATGGCGAGTAATAGGAACACCTGCCTCATTTTTAATCCGAGAAAAATGCTTAGTACAGTGCCTGGCACCTCCCAAGCCAGCGCAGTATGGTAGCTAGCTGTTGACTTACATTATCTCCCCTCGGCTGGCCTGCCTCCACCTCCAGCTCACCAGGTCCAAGTCTGATCTCATCCCTCTAGTCCCCTCATCCCTGCCAGCTCCACCTCCAGGGCCAAGCCCTGCAGTCATCCCAGACCCCTCCTCCCTCAGTGGCCAGCCAGGCCCCAAATGCTGTCCATCTTTTCACTTCTACATCCTGAATAGTTGTCAACTTGGTCTTTGATCTTCATGCCCACTGCCATCCTCTCTCTACAGCCTCACGAGGGTGTCCCTGGCTCCAGGCTGCCCTCTCCTGACCAGACGTCACGGAGGAGCCAGGGGTTCTTCCTAAAATGCAAGCCCGAGCCCCTCCCTCCCCTGTTACTTTCCCCTGCCGCTGAGGGTAAATGCAAGCCCTCGGTCCACCCGGTCACCTCCACCTCTGCAGCCTCACTGCTCCTCTCTTCTGTCCACCCCCACCCGCCTCTCACCCAGCCCCAGGAGCACTTCCACCCCGGCCTGGCCGCGGGAGTAGCCACCATGTCACCTCCTCCAGGAATCCTTCCGGATCACCTCCATCCCCTTCCTCACCCCGCCTCCCGGCAGGGCCCAGCGCCCCAAGCCCCGACCCCGTGAGCTCTCCCAGCGCGCAGGTACCCTCCGTGGACCAGGCCTCCAGCCCCGGGCCTCCCCCTCGTCCCCCTCCCCCCGGGCTCCGCCGCGAGCCCCACGGCCGGACCGGGTTGGTCCCGTCCCCCGCGGTCCCCTCGGGCCTCCGCGCCCGCGACCACGCGGTGGAGGTCTGTGAAGTGGACGAATCACGAGCCTGCGCGGACCTTGCAGAGGAGGCGGGAGCCCCGCGGGTGCGGAGGGGGCCGCTCCCCCCGGGCCCCGGGCCCCGACTCCCGGGCTGAGAAGTAGCGACAACTCCGAACCCCTCGCCGGGCCGCGCCGCCGGCGCCGCCCGCCCCTTCCCCTTTCAATTTTTTGGTTCCCGGGGCTCCTCTCTCCGGGGGGGGGACGGTGGAGAGGGCCCTTTGGGGGGACCCGGAAACCATCAACGGAATAAATAACCCCCAAAAGGCTTTCGTGGGGGTCAGAAGGCCCTCCTCCCCGGTGGCTTTGTCGGGCGTAAAAGGTGAGTATGTCAGCAATTTATTTTGTCTTTAGTTTCGGGTTCTACTGTTC